GCTATAGTGTGTGGAATACTAGGCGGCACACTCTTGAAGGCATGATTCGATATTAGTGAATTTTTGGTAGGCAACTTAACGTTGGGGATACAATGGTGATATTAAAAAAATGTTCTCATGGGGGTCCCTACGTCACTGTACTTGCAATTTGTGGTCAAGTTCGAAAATGGGCCTCGTGGGAAAACCTAATCAAGATTAGGCATTTAACATTTCATAATTAGCTATATGTTAGGCATTTATTCCGTTTAGTCCAATGTCGGTGGTAAGTTTTCCTTTTCCTTTATAAAATACGGCCATAGGAATACCAGTCTCGAGTAGAGAAAATTATATTGCATTGGGGTTTTGGGTTCAATATCCAAAAGAAGGACTGCAGACATAGTTCTTTTTTTAAGATAAACTCGAGTTTTTGTCGGCAATGGAGGAATTTCATTAAGAAATTTGGGTCAAATAACTTAGTACGATAGGCTATATGATAATAACGTTAATGCCCCGCCTTATCCGCGGTGTATATGGTGAGATAGTAATCCCTGGTCGGGTACGATAACTACCTCATAAACACCTCGTTTCACCCGGTGGTTTATTCCGTGGTTATCACACCCAACCAGGGATTATCACACCATATATACCTCGAGTCGGGGCGTTAACCCTTAATTATTTTAACATTCAAAAACTTGCTGTTATTATGTTTACCGAAGAAAATGGTAAACATATTGTTTTTACTTAATTATGTTTACCGAAGAAAATGGTAAACATGTTGTTTTTGCTCGGTTTCCTCCTCCTCCTCCGTTCCAAACACCTAAAAATCGTCGATATTTTCGTAACTAGAGCTTAAAAGAAAATGAAATTCAGCATGCTGGTAGGTTGGTACGTAAGACACTGAACCGCGGTCATTTTGGCCAACATAGATGTAAAAAAATGATTTTATTTGAAAAAAATGGGTGAAAAAAGTTGCATTTTAAGCCAAAAATCGAACAAAAAGAACGCGTTTGGAACATTAGAACATTCGAATATTCCGAGTTCGACAACCGCGGGTCAATGACCCCAGCGCTACGGAACACCCGAGATTTCCAAATATGGGCATCCGCCCTCGTTTGACGCGGGACGAGAATGTCAGCGGTAAGTTTTCCTTTTCCTTTATAAAATACGGCCATAGGAATACCAGTCTCGAGTAGAGAATATTGCATTAGAGTTTTGGGTTCAATAACCACAAGTAGTACTAAAGATTTCAACAGAACGCCGCCGACTTTGTTTATGTAAGTTTTGCTGATGTCACCGCCGGCTCAAATCAAGGACGTTCTGTATTGATTGAACGTCCTTGATTGAACGTCTCAATTAAAAAAAAATAGCACTCAAAATATACTAGCTCCTGACTTGATAGAATCTCGTATGTATAGTGATTTCGGCTTGTTGCCGTTGTGTAAATAAAGTAAACAGAATTTTGACGGCTAGTATTTCTGTTCATCCGTAACTATTTTGACTTTGTAATGTAGGTGCGGGGCATTTGTTTACGTTTATGACTCATGATATAGCATTTTGTCGTTTTGTCAGACAGTTTGTCATCTTTTTTCGGGATAATACAGTACAGTTCATAGGATAAGCATCAAATCGGGATTCATCGGGATATCCCGCGGGATTTTTCGGGAACCATGTTGACTAAGATTTTTACAGACAGACGGTGCAGCGCATGTTTGTTTCCAATGTATGGTGCCAGTAGCACAAACGAATAGTGTTTTTAATCAAATATTTTTTTCAATATCGGAAAATCTTATGGCTCAAAAATGTTTAGAACGATAACAAAACAATACAACCATCTTGGAACGAGAAGTTCTGTCCGACCTTGCGATGTGGACGGCCCGCTAAGTACTGCTTTTGATGTCACCCGACCCGCGCTATCTCAGATATAAAATCTAACACATCCACGTGCCATATCCCCACTCGAGAAGTATTTCTCCTAGATAGGGGAGGTCTACGCACAGAGTTGCGGAAGAGAGATTAAACATTATACAAAAGAGGGGGGCCAAGCATAATTCAAAGGTTCTTTACAGCTTTTGGCTTTGTTTACGCGGATCAAGAATTGCTACATTTCATGTTGCTGTCACTGGGCCACGTTACCATAGGAACGGCTCGTAAGCAGCATAGCTAGCAGACCCAATCACAGCGCACAGACTGGGACCCGCCCACTGGCTGGGCGGCAAGATTTCAAACTCAAAGGCTCGATGCTCCGCCCCAGAGACTTCTGCCACCTGACGTTGTAGCAATTTTCCGCCTCAATCCTGCAAGCGGCAGTGTATTTTTCTCATCTCGATTTCATTCCAAAACAACATGTTCACAAGTGACATCGAGAACTAGAATGCTTTTCCCACCGAAAGATTTTTTGCCAGCCGTGTGGAAGTACTTGCTTTCAGGGTAATACGCACGTCAATGGACGTGGCCGGATCGTTGTTGATGCAAGGGTTTATTTATGTGTACGTGTTTGGGGAAGGGTGAGACGCATGCCCCGGGATTTTGATGGGCAAACTTTCCTAATTTTCGTAATACAGAGACTACTTGACGCAGTCTGCTCATGAGAAGATGAGAAGACTTCAACAAGTACAAGATGTCACAATGAAACACAACAACTACTAGAGCCGGTGCGACCTATTTTATTTGATGGTTTATAAACTTGCCGGGAAATTCACCGGAGACGAAGGGATTATTACAAATTCGTTCCTGTTATTTTTCTACAGTTTTCGTGAGTTTTTCGCTGGTTTTGTTGTGCAAAAACACAATGGCGGCAAACGACAGCTTTCTATAATAGCACTTGTTTTCTGAATTGTACAAAATATTCTTTACCTGCAGACGTTGCGTAACGTTTCACCCCATCGACGTCTTCGTACGTGTGTGGAGACGTGCCCTGGCCTTCCTGCTGCTTGTCAGAAGCGCCATTACCGTGGCGGACACGCCCGCGTGAACCACTCTGCTGGACGGGACGGGGTTGTGGTGGCAGCCCGCTGGTTTTGGGGCTGTCGGGGCCGGGGACAGGCGGCCGGACAGCCTTTCCCTGCCTGTTCATTTCGACCGTACTGTGCAGACTGTATTGTCGCGCAGTGTACAGCTGTGCAAATATTCATGAATATAGCAAATAATACCTTAATTGGTCTGACGAGGTATGGTTACTTTCACCCTTATTTGGAAGAATGACGTGATGCAATAGCATTTTGTTTTTCTGCAAGAGCCAGACTTATTTTTGTGAAGAAGTAATCTGGGAAACACCAAACAAATCTATTCACTCGTGGAGAGAACTAGTTCATCTCGGGATTTTCACAAACATGTGCGCATGCTCCAACTCTGCCGTATACACATTCAGTAGAGACGCCCAAGACCCCCCCACTTCTTTAGTTTTCGACAATTTGATAGTTATTTTGAATTTTATATATCTGGTGCTATTTATCGTTATGTGATTGTATGTACGTTGTGTTTACCGTTGTTATTATTGATAATGAAAAGTTTATTGCAAACTAGTGCCCGGAGGCTAATTGCAAATTACAAAATATAAGAAAAAAAATGAAACAGAGAATAAAATATAACTAAAGTCTACATGATAAAGGTAGCTGTCTAGAATTATAACTATGTCTAAAACTATGTCTGAAGCGTTTGACTTCGAATCCTCTTCTGTAATCCATGGAAGACGTAATGTCCCACCTTATCCAAATTTGTGGTTTTTGCGTGGTCCTACAGGACTAGACTTCCAAGGCTGAAACATTAAATTACATAATCACATACATGGAAATTACAGTGAAGGAACAGTGAATACATTTAAAAAGACATGAATACAGAAAAACATCAACAATGAACACACAGTCAAATTGATATTAACAAATTAAAAAATATTAACAAACTCTGTACTATGGTAACTCAACGTTTAGCTTGGCGTCTTAGACCCTGCCTGACAGTTAACCCTACCTAGACCGGGCCGGGGGGGGGGGGGGCTAAAAGTGCCCGCGGCAACTTTGATGTCACCTAGCGTCTGAACGGCTAGCCGTAGAACGACCAAACTTGGTGACTTTTCCTAAAATATTGTTGGCAACAATTCTCTATCATTGGAATAAGATAATAATTTTTGTGTTGCCATGGCAACGGGTTTCTGACAGGCATTTTTTGCTAAATTTAGTACTTTTTGTTTCAACAATAGAATTTTATAGGTTTTATGTCAAGTTACTCATGGTTTCTAATATTAATGACATCCCATATAATTCTATGTAAATTTAATCATTAAATATGCATAATTTATGCTAATTTGATGACGTCATTGGCCAAAATCCAAGATGGCGGACCATATCATTAGAACTGGTATATACGGGTTATTTTCATTAAAATTTCATCAATACTTCCATTTCTTTTTACAAAAAGGTTTGAATGAAGGTGTTTAGTATGTTTACAATGTATTTTAGGCTTTATCATGAAAAAAAAATATTTTTGAAAATTCAAGATTGATGATCCAAGATGGCGGATATCTTAAATATTCATGACGTCATTTTATGACGTCACCGGTGTTGGTATGGGCAACATAAGACTTAGTACACACTAATATTCTGTCATAAACACTTTTGGTAAAGTTATGTTGTATACCAGGGAGGGTTTTCAGGGAAAAACCTTAGACGGTTTTGGCCAATAAAATCACATTAATGACGTCATAATGACGTCATATTACGTCATAACGACATAAAAATTGTAGATATGATAAATTTTCACTAGTACACCATTCTCTGAAAATTTGGTGGTCATACGACATACCGTTCGCGAGTTCTTAGGGGGGGGCCAAAGAGCCCCCCCCCGGTCCCCCCATGTCAAAAAAAGCCCGGTCTAGGTAGGGTTAAGCTTGGATTGGGGAAGGCTGAGATCCATTCACAGGCCGTACCCCTTCCCCACCGCATACCCCTTCCCTGCTGTTTCTGGGAATGCATTGATTGCTGCCTCGGTTGTTATAACTTAATCCGATGGGGCATGGGGACTTAATGTTAGCCGCATGCATCCATCGTCCGCGATAGTAGTGTCCCGAACCATGCCTGAGCAGGAACAAAACAAAACAAAGCTTG